AGCGGCCTTCACGGGGAGAGGCTTCACCCAGAAAATGCGGAGAGGAGGTCATAAAAACAGCCATAAAAATCAAAAAACAGTAATGAAAATCCAAACAGTAATAAAAATAAAAACTAATACAAATCAAAACAGTAATAAAAATCAAAACAATAAGAAAAAACAGTAATAATCATCAACACAATAAGAAAAATGGACACGATCAGAAAAATCAAAATAAGGAGGTCATTTCTCACCAGCCCAGCTCTAATGCCACCATCCAGGCTTCTCTGCTTCTGCGGGGCTGAGTGGGGCGAACGCGCTTGCACCGAGTTCAAGACTAAACTGTCCGTCCCGTCCCCCCCCCCGCATATGCCCGCACGCGGGGCAGGTCGGCTGAGATCCCACGGCACGGGGCCACCTGGGGCAGGGCGCGGGCGCGCGGCATCGCTGTGGTCGGCAGCGCCAGGCCATGCGCCGCCAGGACGCTGCCCTCTGCACCGTTTTTGGCTTTTCTCCTAAGGCAATGCAAGTCGGCTCAAACTCTTAAGGTCTTAGGAGTGCCTTTGCCTGTGGCCCATCTCCTAGCGCCCTCCTCGACCTGTGCACCATGTATCATCTACTCAGCTCTTCTTTCTGCAGCAAAAGTCTCTGATCTCAGCCATCTCTACATCTCGAAATACTTTATATTCATTCCTGGCTCAGTGACACAGCTGAGTTGAAAGCGCTCAACATTGAGGTTCAGGAAGAAATGGCCTGGGACCGGCTGGAGGAAGACACGGTCCGAGACTGTCTGAGGTCCTGCTTTGGATGTTAGACTAGTCCTGAACCCTTCAGAAGACTTATTGGTCTTTGGAGGGTAGATCACCTTTTAAACTGCTAACTAAGCTACGGAAAAAACAGCCCTGACAGTGCCAGCGTTGGCACTTCAGCCCGCGGCTTTTCTGGGCAGGAAACGTTTGCAGTGACCTCTCCCTTAGGAAGCAGAGGCAGGTACAAAACGCAACGTAGTCAGACACTGGAGAGAAAGATCAGGCAGAAGAACAACCTGAACGAACCTGCAGCTGTGAAAGACTCCGCTCCGCGCTTCTTCTCCATGGAGCGTGACAAACAGAGCTCGTCAGCCGGGGAAGATTTACTCACAGAAAGGGTTATTTACAGACAAGTACCCATCCGTGGCAACTCTCCTCCCCTAGCCCCACTTTTCTAGTAAGAAGCCCGCTGGGCCCAGGAAGATCCCGAAGACAGCAGTGCCGGGGGAGCAGGGCCCAGCCTCCCTCCATCCCCCTGGAGAGGGTATTCAGGTTCCCCACTTGTTCATATGTTATGATTTGGGGGTCTCAGAAATACGAGTCCTGCATCATCCTTGCTGTAACTGGATTTGGGCACGATTTCTCCACATCCTTTGACAATTCTGCTGGTCAGTATCAAAACCAGGAATATTTAGTCTGAGTTCCAGTTGTCATCTCATACGCCCAGATGACTTTAACCACTCCTGGCCCTCCAGTCAGCCCCTCGCACTGTCTCATGTTGCCTTTACATCCTCTGTGTTGAGCTCGTTTTCCTTCTCTTCGTGCGACAGATCCCTCACGTCACCTGCTATGGGTCCTCGAGCATCTCAGTATAGTTTTAAACAAAAGAGCTCTCAAGATGTCACCTTAATAGCAGTGAGGGAACAATTCCTCTGCTGGAGATGGCATTAATGACTTTACAGCTAAAACAGCTAAAAAGAACATCTTCCTCCCACCCGGCTCCCTGCCTCGGCTGTCTCATTTGAGGAAAACAGATCAAATGGAGAACTTGCTAATGCGGGCATACACCTTTCTTTGATCTTACTAATGAAAAACTAGACAGTGTTAGAATATGTATTAACTAGTCCAGTATTAAACATGACTTTGCACTGGATGTGAACAAGAGAAGTGCTATTACTGCTGTCAGTGTCATCGTTAGCCGTGGTGACCCAATTAATGCAATATGAAACACAACAGCCCTGCTATTTCCCAGAGCAGACAAGCCCGAGGAGAAGCTGTATTTCCCATGGACGTCTCAGGAGTAGCTGCAGGATGGGGAGTTGCAATGACCTGTTTAAGGTGATACAAATCTATCCATCCATCGGTTCACTGATTCGATTTAAAAAACCCAGATCTGAGACTACAGATTGCTGGCAATGAACTGGTTAGCGGGCTACGGTTGATGTGGCTATTACACAGCTAGAGGGATTTACCCCTCTCCCTTTAGGAACTACAGCACCCTGGAGCCGTTTGCCCGGGGTGAGCGGGAGGAGGGTGAAAGCTCTAGAGGAGGAACACCCAGTTTTAACCAGTTAACCTCTCCTGGGGAGTGGAAATCCTCCAGTGGAAGTTGCTCTCCGCAGGTGACCAGAGTGGGTACGGCAGGAGCCCTTGAGCTGGCAGCAGCACATTAGTACGGGGAATTACAGAACAGCTGTGACTAACCCAGGTTTGAGAGGCAAAGGTTAAAAAATAAAAGCATGCTAAGGTCTCCGAGCACTTCAGCAGCCTGTGTTAATTGGGAAGCGGCGCAGAGGAGAAGCCGAATGAGGAGAGTTCAAACGAAGGCAGAGTGAAGCTGAGGAACTGCCCGCAGAGCTGCAGCCGTGCCCTGCGCGGCGGGGCTCTCGGCTCAGCGGCATTGCTGTGTAAGCGACGGGGATCACAAAAATCCCCGTCTGGACACTCAAGGGGAAGTACTGATGAGACATTAAGGGGGCTCTGTCCAGATTCCTAATTAGTTAAAAAATGGTGCTTGATGACATCGCCTCACGTGTAACAGGCGAGCGGGGAGGTGTGCTGCTGTGGAGCACCCCGAGGTGCGGGACACGGTGGCAGGAGGGGAGCTCCCCTCGGGCTCAGCCACGGGGGCCTGAGCTCCCGCCACGGCCGCTCGGGCTGCCAGCGGGGTCAGTGGCCAAGCGCTGGCGGGATGCCGCAGGGCTGCGCTTGGGGGCTCAGATTTGGGTAAAGTGATTTTAGTCACTTTAAGCTGCAGTAAGCACATCAAGCAATACTTTACTTCCAGGTTTTGCTAAAGTCCTCAACACATTGGGATAAAAACGTGCTATGAATTGTAGACCTCTGTCCAGGCTGGAGCCTCTCTCCATACTTCCGTGCCCAGGTCCAGAAGCCCCCCAGGAGCTTTTTCTGCCCGGCTGCATTTGCAGATCCCCTGAGCCAGGCAGCACTCGGTTCACGCACTAAGCTTTACCATCGCCTGGCCACATCCATTCCCTAGGAGCCCGAGGCACAGAGCACTTGCAAACTGTCTCACTGCTTGAGGCTCTCCCACCCCACGGTGGGCACTGCCAAACTTCAGGGCCAAGAAGAGGTGGATCTCCAAATACATGGTTAGCCCCAGTATAAATAGGAAAAATAAAACACTAACTACTCACTACTGGTCCTAGGGTGCTATTTATGCAATAGGAAATCTCTAACAGGGGAAAAAAACTCCACATCAGCGTCACAGCGGTCTCCACCCTGGAAATAAGCTTTTAACACCAGGGAAGTCCATCAGCCAAGAACATGTACAGCATTACACCAACATCGCCCCCGGGGGTTAAGAAACCCAGGGTTCAGCCTGACCCTTGCAGCTCAGACAACTCCTGACAATGCCCAGAGAAAAACCCCATCCCCACCTGGCCGAAGCAGCTCTTGCCGGCGCTGGGATGGCTGCAGGAGCATGCACAGAGCCGAACCCGCTCGCCCAGGAGCACCCCAGCAGCGAGGAGATGCTGATACACACCTGCACGGGCCGCACCAGTCCGTTTGTTGGTTGAGGCCAAAGCGAGCTCTGCATTTCTTAGGAGAGGCAGGATCTGAACACAGAAGCATGCGTGGCGGAGAATGGGCAAGGCAGAGGCACAAAGAGGAGGAGGAGCAGGAGGAAGAAAAGAGGCAACATCATTTTAGCCACTTGAACACACGACTAACAGACTACAATTTTTTTTCTGCAACAGACCAGTGCTGGCACCACCTCTCCTGGAAAAAAGTGATCGTTAGGCAAATATCAGTGATCACTGCTGGCAGCTGGAGAAGAAGGTCTGGGAAATGGCCTCAGCTCTGGGAAATATGGGCAATTATGGGGAAATTCACAGCTCTTTGAATTTCTTAAGTTTGGAAAAGCTGCCAAATCCCATGGGTGCTGCCTGCCTCCTGTGTCTGCATCCTTACCTGCTCCCTGCCTTTCCAGCAGCAACTAAACGGGGCTGCCAGCGAGCTCGGACTGCGCACGGAAAAGAAGAGGAGGAAACGTTGCAGAAGCAGGCTGAAAGCAGAGTTAGCACCAAAGAGACCCAGGCCCAGGTTATTCTACTCTGCCCCCCACCATTCCCCTTCCAGTTTTAACGGAAAAGCTGTTCTCCATGGCCTTTCCTAAAATGTGGCAGTTTTGCTGTATAATTATGGGACTCATTAGGGTGAAGCCCTATTTGCTTTCAGGCACATCATGTTTTTTCTCTAGTGCAATAAATGGGATTTGAACAGCGCATTTCTGTGCTGGATTCACGCTCCCTCTTTCAGCCACTACTAGTGTCTCCTGTTGTGTATGACCAGCAGTTGGTTTTCAATCCATAACAGGTGAAATTATCATTTTTGTATCACACAGACAAGGCATATATATGGATATATAAATATATACACACACTACATATAAGCCTAAAAACTTGCATTCCCCTTATCAGTCTAGACACTGAATGAGATCAACTAAACTGAAGATACTACTGGGACACAGTCATGGAATTGCTTTTTACGGACAATTCAAAGAGGTCATCCAACAATGATTCACTAAATTAATGAGATAATCTGAACTTTATGCATTAATGCCGGCTGTGGGATTCTGGTTGCATGGACGTGTAATCCACAGCAATAACACCAGAGCTGGACTCCCATGTCCTAACCAACAACAGAACCACCCAGATGCACCTTGGGGTCCTCAACTCAGGTGTGACAGGTCTTTGCATGGCTGTGCAAGGCCAGGAGAGCAACAGGCTGACCTGGCACCCTCCCCAGGGAGCATTTCTGGAGGGAGAGAGAACCAGTGTTTTGCTTAGAAAGCCAACAGCTTATCATCTGGCTGACTTAATTTCATCCAAAAGTAAGTTAGAGCAATGAGCAGTAATGAACTGGTAGGCTGGAGAGCAGGAAAAGCTCTTTGTAAGTCTACAGGCAATCACAGAATGGATGTACTGGAAAAAACAGGCTGTCTTAACTTCATGTATATGTGATGCCATAGTGGGCAAGGACAGTCTCTCAGTGTTTTACAATGAATATTTAGTGGTATAGATATTATTTATTCCTGATATGGCAGTAATGCTTCAGAAACCAGCACAGGAACAGCCGTGGATGACGGGAACACGTGTGTCACCAGCTGAAATCTGTCAAAAGGGCCTTTTCTAATAAACGGTGTGGTGCAGGGAGGCAACTGGTACTGGTTTTTAGTATGACTTTGCTTGAACTCTAGGTGACTTTGAAATGAAAACTGAATTTGGGGTAGTCCCATGGGTGATCTTCAATCCTGTCACTGCATTTAGTCCCACACGCAATATTGATGCATTTGAGAGGAGTTTTTCTTTAATTAATGGTATCTGTAGGGCTGAGGGGGACATTCACCCGGCTGTTTTGAATAGATTAAGTTTAGTGATAATTTATATGAAGTTACACGCTTGCCAAAATCTAGTTTTTCAGTTTTCACAAACTACCCATGTTCTAATTCAAACATGTTACATGCTTGCCAAAAATCTAGTTTTTTGGTTTTCACAAACTACCCATGTTCTAATTCAAACATGTCTATGAAAAAGTCACAGAAATGTTAATGTACCATGTCTTAAAAAAAAAGCATATTTCTTTCGTTAAGCTCAGGAGAATAAAAGAAAACACAGTAAAACACGACAACAGCTTTGCCTTCGGATTATGCCCTCTGAGCAGAAATGGAAGGACAGCCACTGAGCCGCACACATTTACCTGAGTTGGAATCTTGCTGCTTTTCCCGTGTTCGTCTCTTCTTTTTCCCCTAGGAAATCAAAGGAAAGGCCGTTAGTCCACGCTCCCAGGAGACCGAGGGTGCTGCACAGGGTTTTCAGGGCTGGATCAGGCTGCCAGGGAACGCTGTTGCCGCCGCCCAGGCGAGCGGCCAGGTCCTCAGCTGTAACAGCCGTGGTGCTGCCAGCTCTGCCGATTCCAGGGAGAGATGAACTGGGAATCGCTGCAAGGGGATCTGCTCAGGTTTATCTATGTGGGCATCCCTTTCCTTTCCCCAACTGCCCAGTCCAATGCTCCTGAGAAGAAACCCAGGAGGAACTCTCAAAGCAACCATCCAAATTTGTGTTTGCACACATGCTAGTGGCTGCTTTTTACACGGCACAAATTTGTTCTGGACATGTACCTTTTCTCAGGAATAACCTCCTCATTTCCAGTACCCCCAGATCCAGCACCACAGGCATTTTGACTCATCCCAAAACCACTCTGCACGAGATCCGCACATACACAGAAACAGCAACAGAAACTCAGAGGAGACGGCGACCGCATCCCTGCTCCCACTCTGCTCCATCTTCCCAACATGCTGCTCCCCTGCTCTGTATTATGAGTCCACAACCACACTACAAACACAGCTGAGACCCTGACTTACACTGCAGGCTGTGTAAGAAGTTGCAAGAGAAAACATTAGTGGATGCAAAACAACAATAATAAACCCAGCACCTGTGCCTGCACTGCTCAGCACCTCTGCCAACTCCTGCCAGTCCTCCTCGGCCCACCCTGATGTGTCTCACCTGGGAATCCCACCCATCATTGCTGTAATTAATTAATTATTTAATTAATAGATTTAACTAGATTAATAGAATTAAACAAGATTTACTGCATACAAAGGAGGCAGTCTGATCAACAGCTGATCCTCCTGGCATATTCTTATTCCTCCTCAGTCTTTATTTTTCTAAAAAGCACTTGGCCCATTTTAGCACCTTCCCTATTTCCAATACGCGCTTTAATGTGGTGCCTTATACCTGAACAGAAATGGCTCCATAACGTGTTACCAGCAGGAGCACCCCGATTTCAAATGGGAAAGAAAGTTTTAGGAAATCCCCAGAAATTTATTTTCAAATAATACTTATCTCTCTATTTTAGTGCTTTCACAGCTCTGGGCCCATTTCTCATTCTTCTGTTTTCTTTATTCACTAACAAGAAAACCCAGTTTTATCCCCAAACTGCCTCTCTGACTCACAATACACAACAAATCCCCTCATCTCCTAATGAGCTTATTAACGAGGGCACAGCGGCACAGGAGCAAATCTGGCCTGCGTGGAGCAGGCAGCTCATGGGGCTGCCTTTGACCTGTGACTTTTTATATGACTTCTTGTGGTTTGAGTGAAGGTGGAAAGCTCCGAGCTGCGGTAAGCTTTTTCTTCAGTGTGGGAGCAACTGTATTTCCTGCCCGATATCTGCATCACGTGCTGCAGAAGTGACCTACATTCCTCCTCCTCCTCCTCCCTGCTCAAGCTCCGGAGAGAAAAGCATCTCTTGCAACGACCATAAGACCCAAAGCAGCTGCTTGCCGGTGCTGGGAGAGCCAACGTGTGCATTCAGAGCCCTCTAGCCACGGAGGAAAAAACTCTTCCGGAGCAAGGAACCAGCCCTTGCCAAGATGAAGGATGCTACGGGATTGAGATTTCTGTGGAGGATGCGCTTGGTCTTGGAGGAAGATGGTGCCTTGCTCTTAGCGATGTTGCTGCCCTCCAGATGCTGATGCTCTCCAGATGCTGCCTCCCTCTGGAGCCGCCCTTAGAGAAACTGGGGCAGCACCTTTGGTTCTTAGAGACTCTTCTCTGTTTCTCTAAGGGCAGCTCCGGAGGGTGGCAGCATCCAGCACTAATCCTGCAAAGCTGCATATGGATGCCGAGCTCCTGGTCCGTGCTTGCAAGGAGACAGGGATATCTGTACTGCTGCAGGGAAACGCAGGCTGGGGGCTTCTGTAACCTCTGCTTTTTCTGCATCACTTCTGCCCTCTGTTTTTTGGGGTTTTTTTGGGGTGTTCTTGGTCTGTGTAAGGATGTTTTCTCACCCTCAGCAGCATTTGGGCTTTCTGGAAGGAGGGCTCGGGTCAGGGTGGGCTGGATGGGTGCTCGCCGTGCAGCTCCCAGGGGAAAGCAAGCAGCTGCGAGGGAAACGACAGAGCCTTAGATCAAAGGGCAGAGCCCTAGAGTGGATGGATGGATGTCTGAAGACTTACATGTGCTTTGCTTCAGGGTCTCTAATGAGCTCGTTAGGCATGTAAGATCAAAACAGTTGAGAAGAAAGCCACTAGAAAAGACCCGGAGTGTATCCTGTGCTTCTGGGGCACTGCTACACCTATGACACCTTGTTTAACACGCTGCTGCTGAAGTGATTAATATAGCTAAGAGGAAATGAATTTTTTTTTTAAGAGGAACCTGTAAACGTTCCATGGAGTAGCCCAGAGGCTTCCCAAGTGCGGGCCCTACCACCATGAGCCATGAAGCAGCTTTGTCCTGCCGGCCAGCCCAGGAGCTGCCACTGCTTCTCCCCAGGGAGCAGGGGGCCCTGGGAGCCCCGGCCGTGCCAGCGTGGCAAGTGCACCACAGCCCCCTCCAGAAAGAGCCACTGTTTTAGATGTACAGTCAAGTTGGCTCTCTATAAAAACCAAACACATTTTTTCTCTGCTCACGTTCGGGGATCAGTTTGGCATCAATTGCTGCGGCAATGTACCTTGCTACAGCCAAAACTGGGGAAGACCAAGGCTGGAGCTTCCCTTCTTTCCCTTGTATGCAGGGAAAGCTCTTCTGGCTACAAGAATGCATGATCCCAACACTCAGCGTGTTTCAGGGCCCTCTGCACTAGATAATTTTTATTGCTGAGAACAACCGCTATTTGCTGCATGGCTCAGCTGCTCCGCTCAGCAGCCAATGCCTGGTTTGGGGGATTTTTTTTTTTCTTTTTTCGATCTGGAAAGGTTTTTTTTTTCCCCCAACAGCAAGCTTGGTTTGGAAACAGGCTCGCCAAAGAGCTGGGTTGAGCTCACAACCCCACAGAGCAAGCAGTGCTGTTGTCTGTGTTTGCTCAAATTGCATTTGAATACTTTGAACGTGGTGTGCTTGATTTGGTCAGGGTCCTCAAATAATGATTGGTCAGGGTGGGATCAATGTCCCTCAGGAACAGATAGAAACTTGGTGACTGTCATCCTGTGAGCACCGCTTACGTGCCCTGCAATACGTGGGGCTGCTGCTTCAGATGCAACCCCACGGAGAGTCCGAAATCGGACCTGAACAGCCTGCGAGACCGAGGTTTGCACTACAACTCAGAGAAAGCAGCTTACACTTTCCTGTTTTGCCTTTTTGACAATTATTTCCCATTATTATTATGCTCCTATGAGCATAATGGCTCAGGCAGACACCCTGTGCTAGTTTTAAACCTGCAGAACAGAGATGGCAGCCTGCAATTCAGCAAATTGCCCCAAACTTACAGCATGTCCTTGGGCTCAGCCCCACGTGGCCAGGACTACAGAGCCTGCAGTACCCAGCTCCATGATTTCAAGCTGACAAACAAGGTGCTACCGCAAAGCGAATGGAGCTGAGTGCGCTACAGGTGCCCGCCCAGCCCCCCTGGACATCACACCCCGAGTTTCTCCTCCTGCATCTCTGCCCCATGCTCTGTTCCCACTGAGCTGATGTCTCAGCTGCTGCCTGAGATGCACAAAGCAGTGGGTTTCCATAAAATTATATTTCCAAAGATCATCCACATCATTTAAAAGTTCTCTTCCTTTCTACTTGTATTTACTCAGACAATAAGCGAACAAATGGTTGTGGTAGCTGGGGAGCTATAACATTTGTGCTATAGATAGGCAATGAGCCAAGACAATGTTCAAAATACCCCTGAAATGTGAATTTCTATAGCTATCGTGCCATCAGGAACGACATTACCAGGGACAGGTGGGTTGTTTGGCAAACACCAGTTGTCAGCCCCCCTGGGTCATTTCTGGCCATGCCATGGGAAGGGGGTCCGAGCTGCGGCAGCCACTCACGTAGTTGTCTCTGGCAGACCAGCCGGGGTAGAGCTGCATGTGGAGCTGCCGTTCCTTGCGAGCCAGTTCATAGTACTTGGCCTGCTCCTCCCGGGACAGCGCGTGCCACTGCAAGGACAAGCGCAGTGGTGAGATGTGGCCCCGCTGTCCCCTCTGGTGTCAACCCTCCCAGCCCGTCCCCACCACAGCCGCCCTGCTCTGGGGCACATCCGACCCTGTGCGTTTAAGGGATAAGAGCACCCGGGTTTGAAAGCAGCTGCTTGTTACATGCTTAAGAGCAGCGGTAAGGGACGGAGATGCTGCACTGGGATGACGGCACCGAACCCCGTGTGCTCTTACCCTCCTCCCCAGGATCTGGTTGATAGCAGCGCTCTCCTTCAGGGTGCACTCGGCAATGACTTTCGCCCGCATTTCTTTCATATACAACATGAAAGCATTCAGGGGCTTCTTGATAGTGGGCTTCTTGGCTTCCTTCTCTCTCTTTGGTTCTGGTTGAGGTTTCCTTGGTGGGACGGAAAGAGGAGCTGTCAGCATCAGAGCCACCATCCAGCCCGGCTGCCTGGCGGCACCAAGCTCAGCAGAAGACTCAACACCAAACCAACCCGACAGCACGAGTGGGTGGGGGGCCTGAGATCCGCACCTTGGATGTGTGCTGTGGCCTGATGCAGGCAGAGCTCAGTGTTCATCCATCCTCCCCCCGTGCAAGCATTAATAGGGATAAAGGAAATGGGTATTAAGGCGCTAACGCTGTCAAGCCCTGCCGGCACTTCCAACTTACATGTTTCGGTCATAGTGCTCCATCTCTTGCTTGCCAGAGTGGGGCACGATGGCGGGGTGCGGGATGCCGGTGGTGTGCATGCCAGAGCCCAGCATCAGCGGGTGAGTGAACCTGCAACAGAGAGCGGATGAGCCGCGCCGGGAGGGCTGTGCTGGGGATGCTCGGGATGCTCGGGCAGCCGGAGCGGTGTGTCTCACAAGACGGCACTCTGACGTGGCAGAAGCAGATGGTAAGCGGAGGACACGGAAAGCAAACCCGCGGGTGGTGCCAGGCTGGCGCGGGGCAGGCAGTGCCCACCACCCCGGTGTCGTCTGTGCCATACTGGCAGCAGGCACGGCCGGCCGAGCCGCGGACACATGGGTGGAAAGGGTCCGGGTGCCGCACAGTGGTGAGGAAACCAGCCTGCAGCAGGAGTCAGCCTGACCGAGATCAAGGGAGCTTTCAACCAGCGGTTTCAGCTACTCAGATCTCTGTTGTTGTAATATCTTATTAGCACTGCAAAAAGGAACAACAAACTCATCCCAGGGTTTGGATGGGAGTGATTAGGACCACCCCACACCTTTCTTTTAACAGAAATAGCATTAAGTCTGAACATGAACCAAACTGCAACTCTAGGAGGTGCACCTTGCCTAAGCAATGTTCTCCACCAACATGGGACTGAGATCACGAGAGGTCTCACCAGCTTTCAAGCTTCATTAGCTCTCTCTCGAGTTTTAGAGGCTAAAGCCAGCAGTCAGCTTTGCCAAGCTTGCCACTTTATGACTGCAGCTTGAGATGGCAGAATTGCCCATGGGAGATGAATTGTTCATTAGATATGCTGGCACAAAAAGAAAAGCTGTTTAATTTAATCCACCAGCACAGTCTGATCCTTATCTGACCAGGTGTACTTTCTCGGCTGCAGCAGCGCTGCAAAATCCACCCCGAAATCCTGCAAGTGGGAGCTCCTGCACCGGCCTCAGGGAGGCTGCCGGGCCTCCGCAGGGAACCGTTAGCTCCTCTCTGGCCTTTGCCTTCGAGGTTGGGCAAAACAATGCCTCAGAAAGCAAGGAGGGCTGGCAGCGCTCCCTCGCATCTGTGGCAGGGATAAGGGTTTGCATGGATCAAGGGTTTTGCACAGGTAAAGATTTGCATGGGTAAGGGTTTGCACAGGTAAGGGTTTGCATGATTTTCCTGCAGGAATCCTCCACTAACGGCTCTTCAGGACAACACGAAGCAGAAGCAAAAGCTGGTGCGTGAGCACACAGAGCACAGGCATCCCCGCGGCACTGCCGTCCTTGCTGGAGCCATGGGGGCTTTGCCCACCAGCATGCCCAGAGGGGCTGGGCTCTGTGATTTCCATCCACAGGGGATGTATTTTGCTCACCAGGACATCGCTGGGGTCTGGATTATTTACAGAGGGCAAAATTTGGTCTAAGGTGACCATAAACTTGCAGTATGAATGGTCCGGGGCTGTGCTATGTGGCTCAACCCCCTCGGTATTTAAGGCGGGTCGTGGCGCCCGGCCAGGTCCTCGCGGGGGGAAGCAGGGCAGCGACGTGGCCAGCTCCCGCTGACCCCTTCCCGTGCACAGGGTCCAGCCCATGGCCGTGCCAGCCCCGTGCTGCCCGATGATGGGACGGGGGAGGCAGGAGCTGCACTTACATCTCAGAGGGCTGGGTTGTACTGATGGGGGGACAGCAAATTGCTGCCCGCTGCCTGTCCTGCTTTTAAGGCTGAGACCAAATAAAACAGATCACTCTCTGCAGAGCAAAACTCAGCGGTGGTGGCGGCAGGGATATATTCAGGGTTAGTGACAAGGAGCAAAATCCTGAGCAATGGATTTCATCCCCTTTTCCCAATGCTGAGCTGAAGGCAGGGGTTTCTCCTCCCGGGATGCTCAATATTCCCCTGACTGGCCTTTGGACCAGGCACTGCCTAAAAGCTCCTTCCCTTCCCACGGGTGCCTGAGGAAGGTGTGTGGCTGTCCCTGGGTGGCCACGGTCTGCTGCAAGCTCCTACTGCACAAACTGCAAGCTGCGAGACCAGCTGAGCTGCTGCCCTGTCTCACACAGCTCATACTCACCTGGAGAAAGAAGCCCCAGCAGAAAGCGCTGACGAATACGGCTGTCTAAATCCACATGACGGGAGCGGATAGACAGACTGGCTCTGCCTGGGATCGGGAAGAAAGAGTCTATAAAGTATCTACAGCTATGTGGTGTTTCCTAAAGACACCCTTTGCTAAGGGGACTTCAGAGCACCAGTGCGCCAGGAGCTCTGCGTGATGGGATGCTCAGGGTGTCCCCTGGGCTCAAGGGGCAATGTGGGACTTGGACGGTATTTTAGGAGAAGCTGGGCCTCCCTGCAAAGGTTGGATCCAACTCTGACCCCCCCCTCCGTCCCCCGTGTTGAGTAACACTGCAGCTTTGAGTTTATCCCATTAAAACGCAAAATGCGGAGGTGTGCTGAAAAATTAGGAGCTGTTGCTATTGCACAGAAGAAGTTGCTTGAAAGAACAGTTTGATGAAAAACCTAAAGCCTGGTCAGAGTGCCTCTCTGTGCGGTGCACAAGAGGCTGCACGGTCGTGGGATGCCCTGGGAGGATGCCCGAGCATGGGAACGTCCTGGTGTTCAGAGAGAAAGCACCTACTCTGCCCTCGTACATGCTGCAGAAATGCTCTAATTTCCCCAGTGCATCTTTTTAAGGACGCCCGTCATTTTTAAACAAGCCAAAAGCTTGGTCCTACGTTTCTTTTGAAAGTTGTTTCATACTGGGGACTGGGCATGTACCAGACCTGGAAATTTTTGAGACAGTAAAATAACTATGCAGGAAGTTCCTTGTTGTTCCCAGCAAGGGAAACCCCCCACGTTTTCATATGGAGATAGCTCAAAAATACCTTGGCTTGTTCTGCAAACCTGCCAAAAGATGCTCCAAGCCTAAAAATGCGCATGGAAACCGAGATGCCCGAGGAGGACGCGATGGGGTGCTTAAACCCATGCAGAAGCTCGTGCTGTCTCTGGCCAGCCCGCACAGAGCTGTGCCTAAGACCAGCACCAGCTATTTTCAGCTCTAATAAGCAAAAAAAGCCCATTATCATTGAGTGTGGTGCCACCCCGCTGCCCTGTGGGAGACCGAGCTCCTGGATACCAGGGATTTTTCAGGGCTAAGGCCAGTTTCTGCCCTGAAGAGGAATAAGGACAGCGCTGTGGCAGTCAGGCCCTCGAGCCGCGCTGGGAAGGAAGGAGGTTTCTGTTTCTGCCGCTCCGGGAGCTGCTGTGTCTCAGCTTGACCGAAATCTGCAGCATCTGTCTGTAGGAAAGGCAGCCGAGGCGGCGGGCTCTGTTTACACCCTGCCAGGCAGAAGCCCTCTCCCACCCCTTAGATGTCGGCGGGTATAAACACACCAACAAACAGCCAAGTGCTACTGCGCTTCGGGAAACCGAAACAACCTTTGAAGTAGAACGCGCCTGCCTCAGGGCCGAGAAAACACTCGGAGCTAATCCAGAAGCGACACGCGTTACTGCAGGCTGAGATATTGGGATAGAAAAGGAGCCGGGCACTCGTGGCTTCATTCAAAGTGATTCTGACGTGCAAATTAATGCAATTGCAAAATCAATCCCTGATGGTTGGGAATGCATGATTACTGCCTGTATCACCCAGTGATGGGAGGGTGGCTTGGAAAAAAGCCATGGAGGGGCTGCCGTGGCACTGCCACCGCTCGGCCCGGGGCGCGGGTGAGCAACACAGTTCGCAGGCTCCCAGCTGATATTTGCTGCCAGGCTCCTGTGAGCAAAACTCATTTGACTGGACTCTGGGAGGCTTTTATCCAAACGTCATCCCAGCTAATTACAGAGAGAGTGATTGCAGCTCCTCCTCCCGAAGCACTCAGCGAGAACAAAGCCTGTTTCTGCCCATCTCCTGTCTGCCAGCTCGTGGAGGAAAAGCTGCTTCCCGCGTGTGGCCACCCCAGCTCAGCAGCACCGGCACGAGCATCCCCGGCAGGAGCATCCCAGGCATGCAGCCCCTGCTGCCCGCTGCCTCCTGCACGGGGTCAACACTGCCACTTCTGCACCCACCTGCACCGCTGTGCTGAGCCTTGGCTGAGGACTGGGCACTTTGGGAGAAGTTTTGGGGCTCTTTCCATAAATTTTGGGCAGGCAAATGGATGAGCAAAGGCTCTATTGGACACACGCCTTCGAGGTGCTGCTCTCTGCTCTGTCAGGCCATTTTTTGCTTTACCGTATCTGCTCTATTAGTCACTAATGAACATGTCTGACGAGGTTGCTTGAGGATGCCAAACCCCGCAGATGCTGGAACAGCCCTCAGCAATGCAAACTCCCTCTGCCACCAACCGAATGACAAAACCTCGTGCAAACCAGACTTTTTCCCCTCTGCGCACCCAGGGCTGCCCTTAGCAGCATCCCACCCCAAGAGTGGACCTTGCATTTGGCAAACAGGCTCCTTTTTCACCCCCAACTATTTCTTTCATGTTATAGCACAGTCACCCCAGTACTTGTTTTTCCTGAGGATGAATCACATCATATGAGGAGTTAAATCATCGCCCAAGAGTAGCAGATTTAGCACAGAAGGCAAAATGTAATCTCTTTGAAGCTGAACTCTGTATCAAAGGCCTCAGCCTCTGTTTCCTTGTGGTTAAATATCTGGAACATGAAATTCATAAACAAAACAAAAAGCTAACATTTTACTTTGTGTTTTAATATGCTTTGCCTCTCCCATTTTGCAATAAGTTCTTGTACCTGAAGGTCTCTGCTGGGCTTTGCCGGGGTTTTATCAGCCAGCACCAGGGGAAATCTGGCCGCCTGCCCCGGCAATTGCCCTCCCTGCACTCTCCCCCTGTCCCAGCCACCCCGACCTGCCGCCTGCAGCCACCGGCCTCCCCGCAGGCCTCTGCAAGGTCCCTGCGTCACCGACCGGGATTAAAAATTAATCTGGAGAGTGGCGATGCCCACGGGCACCGCCCGCCAGACCTGCTCCCTCAGTGTGCTTACGAGCACGGTGACAAAAGCCAGTGGCAATGACCACAGAGCACATACCGAGGTATTTTTAACTCATGTCCCTGAGGCAGGTTTCCCAATGGGTTCTGCTTTGCGGGATGCTCCTTGGGGCTGGCTCATGCAGGGGGGACTTTTTGGAAGTGCTCCAGGTCATGGTTCCTCCTTCCCTGTCCCCCCTGGGGCAGCGGGTGCTGCCGAGCCAGCCGTGCTACGGCCAGGCTGCGGGTACCGGGGCCGTTCACAGGGGCAGGTCTCTCCCACAATGTATTTTGTCCCTGCGTCTCAGACCCTAATAAGCACCGTGGCCCAGCGGATGGAGCATCCCATTAGATTATGCCACGGTGGCAGCATGCTCAGGGAAAACACTGTTTGTGCTGAAAACCCAGGCGAGGGAGAAAGTTACCTCTTACTCAAAAAGAGAGGATTTTCTTGTGATTAGGAGAGGTGGGTAGGAAGCTCTTCCTGGGTTTCCTAATCTGTACAGGCAACTAGATGTAAGGCAAGAAGCAGTTTTGAATTGGGCAGGTTGTAACCCCGCTCCAGGGATGCCCCCACCCAGACAAAGCCTTCAGCCTCTCTGTGGATCTGCTCCCCATCTCTAAAACAGGGCTAAATCCTCCTCCCCATCACACAGCACGCAGAAGGGATGAAGCCAGGGGAAAGCACCGTGGAGGTTACGGAGAATGGCTGTATGCGATTTGTTCCATAACCAGTCCCCTGTACGGAGCAGCCGGCGGGCTGGGGGCTGCGTGGGGCCAAGCCCTCCACACTCACCATCCCATCGACGGCGTGATCTGTCCGACTCCACCGGGAGGGAGGGGGTAGAAACCAGGGATGTCTGAGGTCTGGGAAGGACGGTGCACTCCTGGGAGAAGGGAGAAGGAGATGAGTTGGACACAGCAGCGTGCTCCCCAGCTGACCCAGACCGCTCCCGAACCCCTGGCTGCTCCATCTGTGGGCACTTGTGGGCAGCAGGGAATATATGTGAAAGAGCTGCCTGCAAGTGGCAGGATATTATAACTGCCCTTTTTATTGCTGTGGTTCTCTCTGTGGGGATGTAGTGGGTTGTCCATGCTGCTGCAGAATCACAAACAGTGGTGTAATGGGGTGGGGAAGGCAGCTTGCTCCTGCACAAGCATCATCCCTGCTCCATGCCACCCTGAGGCCAACCAGCAACTTGCTTTGGTAAGGATTTGATGGACTCCGGACATCCCTCTGCCCTTCCCAGAGAGCCTGTTCAGGTGCACAACTGATGGTCAAAGCCATTCCTACACCCCCTTCCCACCAGTCATCCCTGGGACCCCCCAGGAGCAGCCAGTGGGGATGCTCCAACAGGCATCACTTCTATCTCAATTTTAAACAATTTGAGTCCCCGTTCAAAGCAATCGTTTCGCGGGCTCTGTGGGTGCCAAGGAACAGCAGAGGTGGGTATGGTGCCAGGTGGGAATTCACCCTTCACACGGGGAATCCCTGTGTGATCTTCAAAGCCGCTGGCACGGGCGGCATGGCCAGAGGAGACAGCCGCAGCATCCATCCGTTTCTATCTGGACTTGAAAACACCCTGCAGAGCCTGGGGCTGCGAGTGGGACTCAGACAACTGTGGTGCTGCTGGCAAAAGCAGCCTCCAGCTGACCCCCAGACCGGAAAACTGGAGGGGAGCTGGGGCCAAGGTCTGCCACAGCATCATGTAATGCTGACTCCTAACGAGCCTCAGACAAAAAATTGTGTACAGAGATTGTCCAGCAACTGTCCTGGGCAATAAATACATTGAATAAATTGGTGATTAGTTGCAAGCAGTTTGCAAACTCAGAATTCTGGATTATTCTCCTAGGTTTATTAATGATAGATTATTAATTAGGAATGACACCAACAGATTCCAAGCATCTTATTAGGAGATAGCTAAAATAAATACATAACCGAACTGAAAGGAATATATAACTTAGTATGAGATTTAGCTACAGCTGTGCTCAAGTGGGACGCAGCAGCCCCCTGAAGGTCAAACAAAACCAGCATCTGCGTTAGGCAGCTGCCAGGATTTCCTGAGATTTGGACCTCCAACAATACAAGGTGTGTAAGCCAGAGCACAAGTTATTCTCGCTGGCCCAGTGGCTGGGGGGGGGGGCC